GTTAGGAGGCATACCCTCAAAATTTCAGCTTTCTAGCTTTTCTGGTCCCCAAGTTAGTAATTTCCCTGCCAAAAATTTTAATTTTCGCGGGGTTGTAAGTGAGGAACATATACGCCCGGGGCTAAATTTAAAATCTCTAAGTTACAGGTGAGCTGAGAATATAACCCTAAAATTTCAGCCTCGCAGCTTTCCTGGTCCCCGAGTTAGCAATTTTCCAGCCAACTTTCACTTGGACGAACGTGAGGCCCAGATGTGCATGAAAGTTGGCACCGCAGCCCTGGGATGGCACTTGGCCGGAAACCCACTGACAAAATTTCAGCGCCGAAGTTTGTTTGGTTGTCGAGATGAAATATCTGGACACACACACACACATACATACATAGAAACACACACACACACACACACACGCACACAACGAGGTTGTCACAACTTGCGTTTTGCATTTGCATGTATGCAAAGACGCATAATTAGAGTTCAGCTATTACTCTTCACTTGCAAAAACGAATGCCTTCAATACATTTTGATATCGAAAGAGACGCATCCTCCTAGATGTCTTTCCCACTAGCACTAGAACAAAAATCAGTATTAATCCATATAAAAGTTTGATCTTTGGTGTTTTATATCTAGGTGCATGCACTTTAAGACATTCTAGCTAAATCCTACGGCTTTTGAAAATTGCCGTGGGGATTTTCTAGTGTTTGCTTACCATTTCTCCTCTTACAACTACCATGGTCAAACCCAATCCGACAGCATCGAATACACGTTAAGAATCCTCAGAATTAATATTTGTTCTAGCTTGAATTCGAGAATGAAGTCCAGTTAGTGGCCCTAAATCAGCATCAGACGAGCAGCGATGTGGTCAGTCGCACAGGAATGTACAAGCTTTATACTGCCCATACGAACACGTTGGATGATCGGTGCCAGTGCAGTACCAGCTCGGAACATCGTCCGAGCCGCAATCGAAAGTGCACCAGACGAATTCATCCCACCCTTGTTAAAATTTGCTTGCACTAACTGATTGATTTTTTCATACACACATACATATATAAATACGTACATGCATACATACATACACATACAAATATACACACATACAAACATATACACATACAAACATACACACATACAAACATACACACATACAAACATACACACATACAAACGTGCACACATAAAACATACACACATACAAAAATACGCATATAAACATACACACGTACAAACATATACATATACAAACAAACAAACACATGCAAACAAACACACATACAAATATACATGCATATATATACGTATGTATGCGCAAATTCTTGCACATATACGTTTGTATATGCAGCAGATAGTGAGTATTAACGGGAGGTATGCAGTCCAGGATCAAAGAACTTGATAGCGTGCCCGGCATTCACAGGCATCCTGTAATACTTTTTTCATGGGATACCCGCACTGACTGCCTAGTCGATCATGTTTTGTACATAAAATACAAGCACTGGTAATTTCAGTTTTGCTATTGTACTAAAAAATAAGAGTTTTTGTTGTACAAGCGCGTTTGCTTCGAGTAACAAGATCAAGAACTTTGAGGGCGAAAAAGCAATAAAACGAATCTATTTGAGCCTATTTTCTCTCTCTCTCTCTCTCTCTCTCTAACTGTTTGAGATAATCGACAGTTTTTACAAACACCTGTTGTTTGTTTTAGTGTGAAGGATTAAGTTGAATGCTGTGAAGGATTATTAAGCTAAGTTAATGCTGTGGGAGCGACATTTATTCGAGCTAACATCCCAACCAAAATTGGCATTTTTGCTTCAATGCAAATTCATCGCCATTCAGAGATCCTGTAGATGCTGCTCCTTAACTGCAACAGTTTTTATGCGTTTTTTGCAGCTATGCAATGCAGAAGACGCATATTGGCGAGGGGTTGTCTGTGCGTGTGTGTCTGTGTGTCCGTGTGTGCGTCTGTCACGGTTTTTCATCTCAAGACCCACAAAAGCTATAGGGCTGAAACTTTGAGAACATAATCT